GGGGGGGAGGTGATGTCAAGGACATATACTAAGAAGTTGTAGAAGATTCTAGAAGGTTCTGAGAAGCTTTGTAGTTTGTAGAAGCTACTTGAGAAGTTTTCAAGCTCGTGGAAGCTACTTGAGAAGCTTCTTAGTTTGTGCAAGCTACTTGAGAAGCTTCTTAATTTATGCAAGCTACTTGAGAAGCTTCTTAGTTTTTGTAAGCTACTTGAGAAGCTTTCTAATTCATAGAAGCTGCTTGAAAAGCTTCTTAACTTGTAGTATATATAGAAGCCGAGATTGAAAGGATCCTTAGTTTTGACAATACACCTCTTAGAGCTCTAGCTCACCTCTCTAGTATCGTTCTTGTACTCATCTGATTAATCTAGTTCTTGCCGATTCTTCTTGAGCTTCTTGTTTAGATTTCTAGTTAGTATTCTTAATTCGTGACATAAACAAAAAGTTAAGTAAAAATATTTTACCTCAAGGGTAATTTTCTTATAGATCAAGGGTTCGAGCCTCACCAAGGCTCATATGTAGTGTATAAGATTTGTCTAAGAGAAGCCATGAGGCCTTAGTCTTATCCTCCTAACTACTTTTAAGGTGCTACAGCCCATATGGGACTTGTACACCTCCCTTCCTACAAGAACTACACTAGCTGCTAGTCTTTCTATTTTCTACTAGAAGGACCAATATTTTTGCAATTTTGACCACACCACGGTATTTAAAAATATCCAATTAGCCTAAGAACCTTGTATGGCCTTCAAATCTTACTCCATTTCTTCATAATGGCTTCCTAAGTGGTAAAACTTATTTTTACTAAGGTCTTAAAAATTGCTCCAAAAATTCCTAAAAAATTCTAAATAAATTCTAAATAAATTCTAGTAAATCTTATAATATTTTTATAATATTAATATCCATTTAAGGCTACAATTTCCTATCTTGATGATTTTTTATAGTAATAAAATCAATTTAAATCTACTATAAATGTTTTTTTTTTTATATATACCAATAACTAAAATGATATGAGATTCTTTCTCATGCTTCTTCTAACTACTAACATTTATAGTTTTTATAAGTAGTACATATAGATAGAAGACCAATATAAATATTGCTCTTAATAAATAATTCTTACTATTCAACAATGAATAAAAATACTAAACTAATGTAGATAATTGCTTCCAAGACTTACTAAGATTCCATTTCTACCACAAAAATTCTAATTTTCTATTTCTCTAAGGATTTCTATACTACTTACTATATATTATGATTTAAAGCATTCTAAATGCATATTTTTATCCTAAAACAATAAGTGAGTCAATTTGATGACTCATATATGGCGAGCATTAGGGACGACTTGCAAAGGAGAAGAATCTAGAACTGACGTTCGAAAATGCCATTGAATAAAAAGAAGAATTATCTATAAAAGTATTTTAAAAACTAATTAAGATGAGAATGAGTACTTTATTTCTAATCTAAAAGAACTAAAGTAGTTTTTGTTCTATAGATCTAAACAAAAAAGACAAAGGAAATTAAATCTAATCTAAGACTCAATGATAATATATAAAAAAGAAATCAGAGCTAAGAAATAAAAAAGTGATCTTTTCAAATTCCTCTTTAATATGAGAGGATTTTAATATCAACCTTCTAAGGTCTATATATCCATTGGGTGTTAAGGTTGGTCTTTTCTTGCACTAATACTAGCTCATTAAGATAGTCTATTTTTTCCAACTGGATTCGAACCAGGGACACTCACTTGACAACCTCTCACTTAACCAATCTTTCTATGTCCTTTGGATGTTTACTAAGATACATTCTCATAATTCTTAATAATATATATATATATATATATATATATATAGATAGATAATTTTTTTTTTTATGAAAGTCTCATCAAATATTTGTCTCTTTCAGTTATAATATCTCTAATTTTTTGGTGAAGGAATTAAATTGAGAAGAAGATAAGAAAATTGAATATAACTATAGCTTATCTTGAGGTCCAATGTTTTAGTTACTAAATTCCATCTGATTTTTATAATTTGCCACTTAAGGAATTGAATAAGGGTGAATTTGACGATAAGTCATTTGACTTTGTGTATAATAAAAATCACACTCTATATTCTTTACATCTATTTTCAGATGTTTTGGTTGGAAAATCTTTGCCATTGAGTATTTGTAGCTAAACTGAATTGTTCGAAAAGACTTCTTTAACCAAATAGGGACCTAACTATACAGCATCAAATTTTCTTAGAAAGTCTAATCTCCTAGCATCTTATAAGAGGACCAACATGCCAAGTATTAAGATTCTAATCTTGTATCATATATTAAAGGTATTTTTTCTTCTTTGTATAGCCTTTGTATATTGTACTCTAGTTCTCTCTCTTTCATCTAATCTTTTTTGTTGTTTCAATCTATCTTTAAGAAAAAAGTCTAAGAATTTATAATCTATATAGTAAATATGTAAATCTTCTATAGGTACCTTATACTTATTATTTTATATTGGTGGATAGATAACTATGTTATTTTCAGCCATAAGACGACTAGGAGTTTGTTTAAATTATAAAGATGGAGTAAGATTGCCTTCTTCTATTAAGTCATCCAACTCGTGAACTTGAGTGCTATCAAAGTTCACCCCAAACACGTCTTTAATTTTTATATCATCAATTAGGGTTATTAAATCTCATTCTAAATCATTATATTGATAAGTGACAAAAATCTCTATAAAATTTATATTCACAACTTCGTCCGCACTTGAACTTGGGTGATCTTTCAACCATTGTGTGAATTCTCCATCATCTTTCCAGTCATACAGTCCAAGGCCCATACATCCTAATGGAGTTGGTTGAACCATACTTGAACAAACTACCTCCTTTGCTATCAAATCAATAAACCTAACTTTCTTTTTAAATTCTTTTTCTTGTTAAGGACTTAAAATCTCATCTTCTAAAGAGTGAGATTAAATTTTGGCTAAAGAAAATCCTTTGGATTGAATAAAGAGTTTAGTCAAGTTTTTTAGTGGCTCATAGATAATATGGGACTTTTCACCTCCCCAATCAATTTTTGCTTTAGTCGCCCTCAGCAAAGATCAACTTAATAGTAATGGGTAAGAATTCTTACTTGGATGCATATGAATAACATGGAAAGTGAGAGAATACTCCTCTCTACCTGTTATTATCCTACTTCTACTAATTTGGCCCAAGGGGGTGTCTTGGCTTTGATTAGCCATATTAATTATATAGGGAAAAGGACCAGTGATACTAAGACATAACTTCTCCATCGTTTGTACAGATATTATATTTAATCCACTATATCCATCCACAATGGTAAAAGGTATGATTTTATCTACTATGGATAATTCTAACTCAATTGCCTTTACTTCTTGTGTCACTTGAATCGTTTTAACGTGGGCTTGAATTTTTGCCTTAGACCTTTGGTGTCTCTTAATGGGAAGGCCCATTTTAAAGTTCTTTCTCATTATTGGAGAAACCTCCAATAATTGAGTAATTATTATATTAGCCTTGGTTTTTGTTAAATCCTTCCATAAATCATACAATTCGACTTGGTTCTTACTTTTAAGTCATGGTGAACTATTATGTTCAACATCAAGAATTCTAAGCCCTTTTCACTGTTCTTTAGAAGAAAACTCTCTTGTTTGAATATTTTTCCTCAAGTTTTTTGGTTGCCTAATTGACTTGGGCCCTAAGACGTGAGATATTTTTTTAGAAGCCCTACTATTGGCCATTGTATCTTTTGTGGCTTCATTTAAATCCGACAAGTGAGGAGAGTCTTCCGATGTATTCTCACTATCAATTGAATTAGCAAGGGGAGGACTAGTATACCTAGACCTTATCATAAGTGTCAAGGCTGGCATATTAGGAAGTCTTTTATCCTCTACATCTTCACTTCTTGTCAATCTTTTTACTTTTTAGAATATTAAATCAGTATCTATAAAGCTTCTAAGAAGCTTCTCAATAAGATATTATCAAATTTATTTACTTGTACTTACTTCTAAATAAAAAAAAAAAAATAGTTATGTCCATGATAATAGGATATTTTTATATGCTTTTATAAAGAAACATAAATGAATTTACAACCACTTAGGTTTGCACAACCTCATGGCTTTTTTATTTGTGCTTAAATCTCACTTGAAGCAATAGCCTATCCAATAGATGCATTAAGATAAATTACAATTATAGATTCATAATTATATTATTTATAAATACTTGATGAACCTATGTATTGGATTTGTATTTTATCCAAATATAATTTGATAGATAATGTAATAAATGGTGAAAACATAATATTCAAGCTAGCTTGTAAAGAAGTCTTTTTAGATTATTGTATTGCAGGTTTGCAAAATTTTGGTAACAAACCATGATGTGGACGTTCCACATTGAAATCTGAACACAACTGACCAGGCTATTCTTTACTTGCAACCTCTGTTTGCACTGATTGCTTCAGAGATTCTCTGCTATGCTCATGTCCTCATTCCAAAGCAGCTCGTGTTAGCTGCTTCCACAATCTCCCTTGCATCTACTACCATCAAAACTGGTGTCCTCTTGACGAGTTGCGCTTCAAGTATCGCCGATTCTACCTCCGTGTAGTAGAATGCAGTTGCCGTGGTCGAGAGATCGATGGACTTTCCCGAAGTCAGCTTCAGAGCTACATCACTTTGTGGCTGAATATCGTATCATCCAATCTAGCAGGCTCACTGCTTTTAGGATTTCTAATCGGGGTGGTGAAGAATTTGTAGATCGCTGGGAGACTACTCAAGGCGTCCCAGGAACGTCCAAAAACGTAGACGCACTAGTCGTTTTTGAGAAGAATCATCCACAAAAATGAGGCTGAGAATCAACCTATTTAAAAACAACTGTCTATTGGATCTTGACGGCAGAGGGAAAGCGAATTTTGAGGTAATATGTAGTAGAGTTGTTGTTTTATATGTTTCCAGACAGCTGTATTTAAATATAGTAACAATCAACATCGTGACTGATGTTAAATTTGCACATCCGAAACTAGAGTCTCTTCAAAATGAGGATGATAATGTTTGGCTGTTCAATATCATTCTAATAAGATTATTACTAAAACTTAATCGCTTTCTCTTTTTGATTAAGCAACTTTAGCATGAGAGATCCGAGGACATGATGATCTGCATTGAACTCGGACATGTAGCATCTAATAATGTTTCGTGGAAATTTGTTTGCATCAACTTGCCACCAGAGTAAATGACTTGTTGTTGAGATAAATTATTATACAACTTAAGCATGTGAGTATGTGAGTTTAATTGAATAATGAATCGGTGAGCCAGGTCTAGAAGGTAGACTTGCAGCACACTCAACTTCGATTCTATGATCAGACCAGCGTTGATGATTCATCCTCACACAGTTGGAAGTTGTACACAGTGCACGGTTGATGTTCTATGAGTTGTTCACCGCACAACAGCGTATTTGTCTTCGTAAATATAGTGATTGACGGATGGATGCACACTTTTACAATGTAATTTATTATCTTCACGTGCCTGCGTTGGAGTGCTCAACATAGTAGGAGTGATTTAGTATCAGCTACATTCTATTCTAGCTCTCCCTTTCTCTTTCTCTTGCCTTAATTGATTTCATATTTCTATCCTCATGTTGAGCACATTTGTGTTAATATTATATATCTTATTGAATAGAGGTGCTTTGCATAATAGTATGTTAACTGCTGTATTCTCACTATACAATCCACATCCTCCTGTGCTACACAGAGACGAATGAGTGACAAGCGAATACTATGTATGTCAACTTTGCCGCCGATTTCAGTTTCACCATTTCGATTGAGCATGAGAATTGAATACCTGAACTGCAGATGAGTATATGTCCCGTGAAATCCAAGGCTTGCAATTTGTGTATTGAGCTCTGTTCTCTGTCACTAGTGCTCTCTTTTCTCCCTGCATCCGCCATTGTTACGACTCGTCAAATGACGTGTTCCCTTTTCTGATAATAATTTGTTACTTCGTATTTAGTGATTCGTACCTGGAGCTGCATGGCTTTACGTGTGAGCGTGTGTCTTCAGCTTCAAGGACCGAGATATTATTGTGTCAAATTTTGCTAATGGGAGGACACGTTAATTGTTAGGGGGCAGGCACTTGAACCTGTGACGAATGGCAATCGTGTGGGCGAAGGTAGAATCCTGGTGGACGGATCAAAGCCCTCCTTGAGCGATAAGCTCCAGGGATATCCTGAGGATCATATTTTCCAGCGATTGGATTTCTTCGCATCACTGGAACACATCAAATGTGGTGGGTATAGTCATGCTTTAGTCATTGGGAGATCCATGAACAATTCATAGCAAATCCAGGCATTGAGGTCATGACGCTTAAGGCAGACAAGGATAGCGGTTCCTAAACTATCCAATGACTTCAGCTTGAAGTATTGAAATGATATGGTAAGTCATAGCATATGCTTGGGAGGAGAAAGGCAATGCCTGATGGGTAGGTGTAATAAGGCAAGCTCTGTGGCTGGGATGAGGTGTTTGCCTTTTTTTGGGCATTGATTATTTGCTTTGATCCCTCCTGCTTTGGACAATGCTTGAAACTCCCTTGTCGTTGGAGTTGATATGCTGCCATTTGTCTTCTGATTGTCTGTGTTGCATCTTCCATTAATGTATCCATCCTTGAACCATGACTTCCTTGGCGCTGAATCTGACCTGTTCATGGAAGCCTTACGAGGACTAGAACAAATCCCGCACTGATGCCATGTGGTAATGGGGGGTCGGCTCTCACCTGATGTCACGGAGCGTGCAGAGCAGGGCTGTTGCTGTCATGGAATTGCTTGCGTCACGGAATGACAAATCGGCCTCTAAATCTTGTGGGAGACTTGGCATTCAAGACAGTTCCCTATACGACCACCTTCACATGAACGAATACTTCGATGCACTGTCTTGCTTCTCGACAGCCTTCTACGATACAAACACGTTATGTACCTTCTCGACAGCTTTCTACCTTCTATTTGGTAAATAGAATAACACCTATTTAGTAAACACATGATCATCTGTACCTCATTATAATTGGAGTTGCTGAGTTTCGTTGTCAATCCAGCATTGATAGATCCGGGACAAACATCAGGAGCCTTGTTTGAACGACTAGGTTTCCATTCTGATCTATCGCTGCCATCCAAATTGTTGTCGTTTCGCAGCGATGCTTTCCACTGCTCATTTCACCCTCTGTGTGATTACCTAAGCACTCTAATTTCAAGTATGGACACATGAATCCTGTTTACCGTAATTTGAAGCATGAAGTTTGGAAGATCCCAGCGATGAAAGGATGGTGAAACACATCAGAGACAATGTAAGATAACCCGAATGCTGTACATCATTGGCTCACCAGGTCGGCTTGTTCACAAGATCCAGCCGACGATCTGATGAAAGGGCCGTCAAGTCTGCCTTTAAACTGTGGTAGCCGCTGCATTTGAAATCCCCTACAGAATGTAGCTGAGATTTGCAATCGGCAGGGGTCGAGTGCTCGAGTAGATTTCGAAGCCATGGCCGAGCATGAGGTTGTGCCAGAGACTTTTGAAGCAGCATTCAAACGCGATGATGATGAAAAGTACTTGACTTCAAGTTTATCAATGCTGATGAGACAACTTGCCACAATATCCTTTCAATGAGGAAAATGAATCTTTTCTCTAAAATTATAGTTGGTGACGATGGGATAACATCAGATGGTTTCCGATCAGGAACATTCCCAGGTGGAAAAATAGCATCTACAAACCTGATCCAATTTTGTCGGTCGATTCCAACAAATGTGATTGCACGACGGTGGTGCTGCTACCCGGTTGACAGAAGGAGAAGACGAAGCAGGAAGCCTGTAGATCGAAAAAGCTAACTGCTTGGCATATAATAGTTATAGACTTGGGATTGGGATGGACGCAACAAAACTGTTTCAGTGGAATGTTGTGGGAGATTATGAGGTCAGCTTCATTATTATTGTGGCCATTTCTCATCAAGGCCAAACACACAATTCTAACTATATGTTATCAAAATGTCTCGAACAGAATCAAGAGTACTCAGATTCTTCAAATTCTTTCATGTAACAGTTGTGATTTATTCCATCCTCGTAAATCAATTTCTAAAATTACATCGCAGAACATGTCAATTAAATAGAAGAATACTAAAAGATAAAAAGTATATATATAAAAATATAAAAACAAACTGAAAGTCTTTAAATTTTAAATTCTCAAATTGAAAATTCTTTGATTTTATCAGTTTAATTTGAACTTCTTTTTTAAATTTAAAAAAAATAAAACTCAATTTTTCGTATTTTTTTAGAACTAATTCAAAATTTTCTCATTGAGTATAAATAAATTTTATAAATAAGTTTTCGTAACAAATATGTGTGAACCAAAAAACCAAATTGAATGCTTTGACATTACATTATATTTATAATACGATCTCATATGCTACTTATAATCAAATGCATTAATATTCTAAGTAAGTTAATAAAATAATATTACACATACTACTGCATTTTTAGAAATTTTATTTTGATACATAGTATATATAAATATGCAACACTAAAAACATCCGTCATCTTCTTATTTTTCTATTGAGTCTAATTAATTTTGCAACCTAAAACCATCTTAGATCATAGCATAATCAATATAAGTATTCTTTTATGTTCCAATTTAATTTATATGTTTTTTTTGTTGAATTTGACCTTTCATTACTAAGTTTGACTTCCTATCAAATTCTTTTTAATAATATTACTATATTAATATAGTAAACATAGTCTAATTTATTAAAATCTTTCTTACAAAATATCATCTAAGTTTTAGTCATTTATAGCAAAAATTTAAGTCTCTATAAATATAGATATTTTTTATTTTAATTTTTGATATAATTTATATTTATATGTATAAGATATAGTTTTTCTTATATAACCAAAAATAATTCTTAAACCATAGCAAAAAAATTTATTTAAAATTCATAAATACATCAAAATTTCAACCATTGGCTTATAGTTTAAATCAATTAATGTTACATGCATGACTCAAATTTTTATTAAGTACAATATCAACCATTTTTTTGTTGAATGTAAATGATTTTTTCATATTAGGTAAAGCAATTGATTGTTTCAAAAATTCATAAGATGATTTCATAATAAATGTTTCAAAAAATTGTATAAATGTAGTTTAATTGTTTAAACTATTAGTTATTATATTGTAATTTATTTCAAAACACTATAGATTTAGTCATCCAAAAAATTCATATTGATAATATCTGCAAGATTCAAACTTGTTGTCAGAAAAAAATAATAAATAAATCAAGATCTAATATGTTTTGGATATTGGTTGCAAATTCAACATTCTTTTATGCTTTTACCTCTCTCATGTAACCTTGTATAGGAACATCTAAAACAATTTTGAGTTCAGCTAAGATGGCCAAGTACAGTGTGATATTTATAATTTCTTTTTCTTTTCTTATTTTTGTTTTAGTTTTTGCTTCTGTTTTTCTTTTAATTGTATAATTTGACGTCTTCTACTTGACTACTGGTATTTGTAAATAAATAAAACATCTATTTCATGAATTTGAAAAATCTCTTTGTGTAATGCACAAAGTAGTACTATGGTATTGCTTGATTCCATCATAAGATTTTTTTTATTTTTGTAGTGATGGTCATCTTTCTGGTTTGTGTTTTAATTCATACAACACTAAACAAATTGAATGACTCAATCAATATATATATATATATATATAAATCCATACACAAATATAAAATATAATGTACTGGCTTAAGCTTGAAGAGGACTCCTGGTTGGAGCTATCCGAGATCCTTGAGAAGCCAGCACCTTTTCAAACCTCTACATCTAAAATATTGAAATCACACAGTTGGGGGATTTGTGAATGGAAACACTTCAATGTACTGTATAATTAAGAGCAGGGAATCTTCTAAGTTTTGTCTTGAGGTGGTTTATATGTGCTTGTGCTGTTCATCTTTTACACTCTGTATTTGTGGGCCTAAGTGATTTTGGAACCCAGTGTGCATGGAACAGGGTCGAGTGCATTCTTTTAGTTTAAATTCAGAGAGGGATTTTCCCCATCAAAGAAATCTGTTCCTAAACCTTTGATTTTTTTACTTTTGTTCATTCTTGCTTGCCACAGGCACACATGGAGTAGCACCTCTTAGCAAAGAGCATGGTTTTAATTCTAACTGTTGTAACTTGGGGAGGGAGACAACAACCTTTCCCTGCACACATTAACAGGGTTGCAGAACTGGGTGAGGTAGTGAATTGTACAGCAAACTGGAACAACCAGGGAACAAGGAAGATGGGGAGGGTAAGCAGATTAGAATGCAGTGCAATCTCTGACAACATGAATTGCAGGGCTGGGAGGAAACCCTAAGCTGTGGGGTACAGCAAATGTAGGTGAATGCCCTGAGGTGGCAGCTACTTGCAATGTCAACGTGGGACTATGATGAGAATGGGGACCCCATTGATGAAACACACCAGTACAGAGAGTTGAATGCAAGTGGAAGCTCAAATTATAACACTGGTTACAGGAGCTCCCACAGGAACCATAGCGATCACCACCATGAGCATTCGGAGGACCATCAAATGCATGGTAATAACCATGGGCAAGTGATTGCTGAGCACAGCCACACTGGGAGCCCTGAGTGGGAGAGCCATGTTGAGACTCAGCAACATGTGCACGGGGATAGTGGGGATGCCCAACAACAGAATGTGGCAGGGCATAGGGAGTCATACAGGAGGAGCAACAGAACACGTGGGGAAGCCTTGTATGGAGTGACTCCACCTCCTCCTCGTTCTCCTCCTCACCTGGCCCGTGATAGTGTGCAGGATCACCATCATCATCATCATGATGTTCATGGAGGTGGGAGAGGAGGAGGAGGAGGCTACAGGGATTGGCAGTCAAAACCAGGTGTAGGATCATCGCATCACCCCCATGCAGTAGCAGCAGCTCCTCCTCCTCATCTTCCTAGTCAATGGAGGAGGAGGGCTGTCCAGGAGGGTTCTGCTGCTAGGGGGGATCTGTTCAGCAGCAGCACCAATGTGGTAAACCTAACATTTGATGAAGTGAATGCCTTGGCCCAAAGCCATCGCTCCAAAGCATGGCTGGTGGTTGTGTATGCCCCATGGTGCCACTTCTGTCAGGTCTGCTCCTCATATATCCTCTCCTGGACCTCTCTCTTGTGAGGCATGGGCTCCTGATGTTTGATGCAGCTCTCTCTCTCTCCCTCTCCCTTCTCACTCTCAGAATGTTTGCCATCCCCACAGTTTATCGCCATTGTCAGGCCCCCACGTTTGAAGTTTGATATTAATCCAATTGATTTTGCTCTGCAGGCCATGGAGTCCAACTTTGAAAGAGTTGCTCATCACTTGGAAAGTTCAAATGTGTATGTGAGTTACCCTAGCCATCCACTCTCTATTGTGCACTATCATTCCAGATCTATTCCTGAATTGTGTTTTCTTGTTGTATCTGATTTTAATGGGTTTGATTTCTATTATTTTATAATATATTTTATAATAATATTTCATTTTCATAAATAAAAACAGTATGGAGGGGAAAAATTCATATTTGAAAGTTTGAATGCTCAGTAAATAAATAAATAAAGTCTTCCACTAATAAGTTAATTGATAAATAAATTAAATAAATATCTATGCATAAAGTTATTCAATATTTTTTATGATTGTAAATTTATGATAACGTCAGTAAAAAAAAGTTGAATTACCTTTTTTCAAGTTTGAACCAAAATATTCATTATAGAATACATCTCATTGATTTACTACATACTTAGTCTTTTTGATGTACATATCTTTGATAATTTACAATGAGTTGAAACTTGATTCTAAATCAAACAGATCTTTTGAAACTTCATAATTTTTAACAGATTATTGCATCTAGAAGTTCCAAAAGTTTATTTTTGAATGTTGTCATCCAAAATCATAAATTTTGCATTGATATCATGCTGTGGTTCTAAATCTCTTTAATGCTGATTTGAATCATATGGACATTACAACACTCAAAGAAATTTATCTTTTTTCTTTTACCATGAATGTCATTTGCAATTTTCAAAAAAATACAAATGATACAATTACTCTTGTTTGGTTGAAATTATTTAAAGAGAAAATTATTTGATAATGCATGTATGTGTGCATAATTATACAAACAAAAATATATATATATATATATATATATATATATATGAGTGTGTGTATATGAATATATATATATATATATATTTTCTATAGACATATAATATGTTACCAAAAAAAATATATTAAGTTGAAATAGATGTATATATAATAATGCTGCAGCTGAGAAAGTGACCTATTTTAAGTATGAATCAGGTTGGAAGATTTCGAGGAGATGGTGATTACAAGGAATATGCAAAGCAATATTTGCAGCTTGAGCACTTCCCCACAATTCTCTTCTTCCCAAAAGACAGTTCTCGCATTGTAAAATATCAATCAGAAAATAGAGAACTGGATGCTTTACTTGGATTTGTACATTCTTTTGAATAAAACTCAGGAAGGTAATTCATAACATATTCTCCATTTCTACCAAGAATTAAATTCAATACATATTTTTCATTTTGAAATTTAACTATATTTTATTTTATTTCTGATGGAAATTTAGAGAAATAATTTACCAAATGAAATATGGTGTTATTGTTCAATTTGATTCAATGATTATTTTTTTTTAAAGGAAATTTTAAAAATTAAGAAGTTTACTTTAGTTGCAAAACGACTTCAAAACAAATATTGGTATTGATACCTTGGTATTAATACCTTGTTAATGATACATTAGTATTGATACCTTGTTTGAATTAAGAGCATAGATTTGTCTCAATTCTTTTGGTAAACAAAAAACTGATCTTATCAAATTGTATCTACTTGTAAACATTATCTTTTTTAGATGTCTTTATAATCATGAAAACCAAGCTTTTTGATGTTAAATTATATTTTATACATCATTGTAGTGGATTTTGAAAAATATATATATATAAATAGAAACTTGAACATTGAAATGATCTTTTTGATGATGGAATTTTAATGGTGAAATTTAGAATTAACAATTCATCAGGTTTGTAAGAGAAGTTAAATTTTCTAAATTTAATATTACTTAATAAAAGGCTCAATTTAAAATATTTTCTCTTTGATTTTGTATGACTCGTTATGTTGTCTTAGTCCATTTAGATTTTCTGAAAAGACTAACTTTTTTCTTGCTGATTATCACAATTGATTGAGTTGTGATTTGTGTTTTTAAAACCTTACACAAGGTTAACTTTTTAACAATATACTTTTTATAATGTATGTGTGTGGATGTATATATACGTAGATATGTATATAGGATGGTTTAATCACAGTGGTCAAGAAACGTATTTCTATCAAACCCTCCCTGGTATTAACTAAAAACAGTTCAGAGAATCATTTACCAAACATTAGGTAGTATTCTAAAAATAAATTGTGATATTTTAAAGAACTAAACTGTGATAGAATTGAAAGTAGCTTTTTTCAAATTTATAATGGAAAATAAATCCTATTTTTTTCACGTCTTCATGATGAACAAATTCCTATTAAGAGTTGTTTTTGTTGTTTTTGTAATTATTCTTGTAACTGTAATCCATTTTAATGGACTTGATACTCAAAATTTATAAGAAACATAACTTTGTTCAAGATTTCACAAGAAAATTTTAGTGCAAGTTCAAAAATACACCTTGAAACTGAATTTTAGAAATGTTGCAAAATATGTTTTTAGGTATTTTAAGATGCATTTTTGGATTATTTTAGAAATTGAAAATATAATTACACAGATTGAATTGATATTTCAAAAATATTACAAATATATTCAAAATGTAGCTATTTGAAAGTATTATTGTCAGATTGATACTGTCCCATAATTACTGTGTTTGAAATGATTAAGTTCCTTATTTAAAAACCCAAAGGCAGCCTTAAACAAATATGAAAGTTGGAATTAATTTAAAACAACTCAGTAAGTATTTTAAATAAATGATATTCCAAACATAAATTCCATTAATACTACTCTCATGTGGTTTAAATAGATTCTTCTAATGTAATTGGGGCCCCTATCACATTGTTTATTGTGGATTATCTCCTTCACTTTTTGAATAAGCTTGTTTTTTGTTAATTAAGATGGAAAATTAGCAATGGATAATATGTAAAAGAAATGAATGCAAAGAAAGAAATGCTTTATTAGAATCAAAAATAAAAAAATAAAAAAATAATATAATATAAATAATTATATATATTTATATAATTATTATAATAATAATGCAATTCACTTCTTCTTGTGGAAATATTTTGATCTATTTAGATACAAAGTTCTTAGTAAATCAATTCTAACTTTAATATATCATAATCCTATTACTGCCATACTCTTTACCTACCTTTTTAAGCATGATATTTGCAATTTTTTTCTTTACCGTTGGCCTTGCTAGGCTCAAAACACTTTTGTTTGTCTCTTAATTTATCTTAATCATATATTGTGTTCATGGTGAAAAATTTAGAATTAATTCTAAATTTTATATAATTAAATTTTTTAAATTTCTTGAAGACTTATAAATTCTTTTTAAGAATAAAGAGTTGCCGGTAATCACAAAAGACCAAAGAAAAGAACAAATTTAGTCACTGGGTTTCTTCATTGTTCCAAATATCATCACTCATATTGAAAGTGTAAGCAGGTTTTAATAAGACATAGAAAATATAGTTAGTTTCTCGCACTAGACATTTTAATAAACCCTCTACTCTTAACCCTGTCCAATTGCTCATAAATGATTTTGTGTATTTTTTTAAAACCGCTAACCCTGCACAACTCTTCCAAATAGTTTAGGAACTCCCAACAATTGGTTGCCAGTCAGTGAGCTGCTCACAAAATCGGAGGCATGTTTGTCTGTAGACACAGATGGATGACTAGTGGATGAAGTAAAACAAGGCGATACTGCGAGCTGGGTACCTGTTCTGCGAAATTGGTTAAGAATCTACTTGCAACGTAAAAATCATATTTACTCCATGCACACCAGTTCAAACTACTGAACCATTACAAAATATCGTCTGCAATACATTACTGCAGGCCCTGACAAAATGCTAAGAGTTCCTTCCAACTTGAAGACCAAATACCTTGAATCCGGTAGAGCATACAATAAGGGTTCTCGTGAAAACCCCATGGTCCTGAACTAAAAAGCTAAAACCTCCCAGCAATCTGCGCTCATCGCTCACTTGATCGCTTACAATTAAGACCCAAAACGATTCAGCAGGCACAGGAATTGCAAGGCTAGGTTCATCCCATTTGGCATCTATTCATGGGTTAGGAATGCGTAAGATCCAAAGTTAGCAAAGGCAATGCCATGATACTGGCGAAAACTGCCACTATGAGTGCCGTTAACCAGAATGGAAATTTCTCCGAAGGTTTTTGCTGTCGGCCCTTTCTCTCAACATGCCCATTGTTGGCAGTAGTCAGTGTATCAGACTGAGGTCCGGAGGAATTTAAAGTACAAGAAACATGAACTCCATTTTGATTCGCTTGTTCTGCTACGACTTGCTCTGCAGCTCTCTGCCTCTCAAGGTGCTTTTCCACATATTCGGGAAACATTTTACGAAAAACAACACTAACCAAGACAAGAAAAAACCGTTAGATTCAGGGCACCAACCATCACATTCGCGTTCAATCACAAGAAACCAAAACTCCAAAAAAAGGGTCTAGTACCTTGCTCAGGAATTCAAGATTGATCAAAATACACAGCCTACAATCTCTTTTAAAAGTAGGACACGTTTTACATGAGTGCTGAGATATTGTTCAGCACCAAGTGGAAAGCATAGATAAAAGATCACCTAATTAGAATATAAACAGTACGATACACAGGATGTTTACCTCTTACAATTGAACGCTAGAGAATTCTGAGCTAAGCGTTGCTTCTCCACGTCACTGGTTGAAACGCTTCCTGTTGTAGGCGTGTTGTCCATCTGCAATGCAACATCTAGAGTTGAGTACAATAATTTTTGCGAGACCTACTCAGGGAATTCAGAAAATACTCATCAAATCAAAAAAGACTGAACACAATTATAATGCTGGCAGAGGAAGAGGATTATCGATGAACAAAATGCCCAAACCAATATCTGCTTGCATGAGAACATCTGTTACTTACAACCATGATGAGATTCCTTTCCGGCCAACATTAGTAACTAGTCAAATTTGAAAAAGAAATGAGTTATGAAACTCACCATAAAAGACAGAAGGCCAGTCAAAATACTGCATCAAACAGGATCAATCGTATTGTAAGTTGACAATGATGAGAATCCAAAAGAACATCAAAAGCTGTTGGAAAAACATTAATAACGTACAAGGCAAGAGAGTGAAATCTCATAATGTAGTAAAATCAGTCCAGAAGCAAAACTCATTAGAAAGACAACAGAGATAATAAAAGTGAACAAAAATACCTTGAAACAGACCACATTGGATTCCAAGTCTCTGGATGAACTGAAACGCATTTCGATCCATTTCATGTACTCAGTACATTTCCAGGGCACCAGAAACACAACATTCCACATGTAGGGATAAAAGGGAGGAATTCAACAAGAAAAAATATTTGCAGTGGACTTATCCTGAAAATGAGCTACTCACAGACCAGAAGCAGTGCAAACTGAAATACAAGGAAATAACGGCACGAGTACGTACAATCACTCATAGACATACAGATCCGCTTCTGAGTTGCAAATCGCCCATTTGGTGTAATCATACTGCTCCAGAAAAGAAAATCAGTTATCTTAAAATTCGATTCTAGGTTTAGGCGCAGTAGGATAGAGCATTTGAGAGCGAATGTTTTGGTCAACTAAGGAAGGATAAACGAACCTGATGCCTGGAGGTTTATACGGATATTCTGGTGGAAATTTAACTTTGCCATGATATACGCCTCCTATAGGTTCACCAAATCCTCCTTCAGTGTCCACCATGTAACCAAGTATCTCACAGTCACATGTTTACTAGAAAGAGAAATTATAAGGTCAACACAACTTAAATGTCATACACCAACCTGCACTTCTCTGCCCTACAACATGCGCTGGAAGAAGTAGCAGAAACAAATACCTTCAAATGGCGTATTTTTACTTCCTTCCAAGACATAATCTGCACAGGAAGGAGATAATGAAATAAATTACAATGACGTGCTAAACCATCCCTGCTGCGTGCCCAAACTCCAAATAATTAAAATCAACAGAAGATGTTGAATACAGAATGAACGCAGAACTTACGCCATTCCAATATATCTGTAGGTGATGGTCGTGCCAAAACATGTGGGACAGGTTCCTGAAAAGAGAAAGAATTATTGGAATTAATGAGCTACAGTGTGGAACGAACTCTGGGTAAACGACCTCTTCAGCTAGAATCCTTCGATACAACAACCGCAGGTATACAAGCCTGGGAAAGTGAAGCACGGCACAGGACAATTATTAACAATCTTGCAGGAGCAAGGAGAGGTAACTAAGAGTGTAGTTTACGAGTTCATGCACAAGCTTGTACTCGGCACAAGCTAAAAAATACTAAGAAACTAAGCGTCTGCGAGCAGATGTGGTGGTTTCACCAATGCAACTCCTGCTGGTGAGATTGGCTGCCGGAAACTAGCAGTCATGCACATTTAGAACCTACGACCAGACAATCCACGAGTATTCATATTGATGCACCAATTACTCCACATTTATCCTTGGAAGCTACAAGAATTGGCGAGCCCCGAGAGCGTTGTAGCAGTCTAATTCTCACATACTCAAACGTCGACGGCCGTACTCATAAGCGAGTATTAAAATCTATATCAAACGATCTGCCCGAAAAAGTTAACGGTTCTCCCACAATATACTGTTACATCTTTCAGCAAGATCGAAAGCTACCTTAATGTCAAGCACAAGTTCCAAAACCATGGCACGAGACAAATCTCTAACAGTGCTGGAAATATGGAATTGTGATTTACGTTCAAGAAACGACATCACCAACCTCATGTGCTCTTGACATGCACTTTTTTTTTCCGATCATAATCAACCACAAAGGGAGACACCTGGGCACACTAATCTAACCGACTAGAACTCTAATTTGATTACGAATGCACAAAAAGTCTCGGACAAGAATCATGTGACATCCAGAGTGGTTAATGTAATAAAATTGGAAGATAATCATAGGGAAAAACCAACGCCTCCGAGGCGTGCCAAGATCAACACGAGATAGAACAAACCTTGCACAGTGCTCTAAACTCCTTCTGTAACCGCTGCACACACGCTCTATCTGCCATCACTCAGAAGCACTTTTCCGCTGGTGCAAGAACAGAGAGAACCCTAAACTCCAGCAAACTGGACTTCGCCGAGGGTAACAGGGTCCAGAGCGATGACCACCTCTGGTGATGGATGAAGCACCGACATAAAAATAAAAATGATAAATGATAAATAAGAAAGCAAAGACTAAAAAAGTTGATCGAGCAACACTAGGACCAGGGCCAACGACGCAGCAACAGCGGCAGCAGCCTAGACGTAGCCAAAACGCCGAGGAAGGGACAGCTAGGGTTGGAACGAGCGAAGAGTGGAAGGCGGGGGGGG